GACAGCATTTTTTTTTAAATTTTTTTTTTTAGAAAGCTCGCCGAGTTTCAGAAAAAAGTAACGATTTCATTCGACATTTCCGTTACAAATACTTGTACTTTTTCCCTAAAAAAGTAACGAAAGTACAAGTAAAAGTACTAAATTTAAAAAGTAACGAAAGTACAAGTAAAAGTACGTACTTTTCACTTGTACCGGCGGTACAAATAACGAAAGTAAAAGTACTGCCATATATGCTGGTTACCCATTGGTCAAATGCTGAATTGACTCGTTAAACGCCACAGCATTTCAAATCATGAGTTGCAAAAGATGTCTCAATTGATGTTTGTCTTCGGATTGAATTTCAAATCCTGCCTATGTACGTGATTCAACACGTCACAAAATACTTTTCCTTCTGCAGTATTCATATTTATATTTAAATCATCGTCAAGCCAGTAATTATACGTTAATAATAAAAAGAATATAAAAATACTTTAAATTATTGATATGTAAATACATAAAAAATGCCTGCTAGTGAAAAGAAGAAGAAAAGCAGCAGCTGTCGCCATAGCAACGCATGCAATGATGACGCATGCGCACTGTTTACTATTACTCATGAGCACAGTTGAAAAGTGTGTGCACGCTATCAAATCCAAACTAAGACCCATTTTGCCAATGGGCAATAGATAATTTGTAGTCTTTCTATTAAGGAACTCCCGTCACTGAGTCTAAAGTGTAAAAGAGTGGTCTGCTACTATGGAAACAAGGAACATATTTCAGAGAGAGGAGTTTTCGATATTTTCCCGATTGACCCCTGGAAAATCTTGTTCCAAATGTTTGCCTACTCCCTACTTGAAATGGTTTTACTATAGTAACGACAGTGCATCAGACTGGGAGTTCTTTAGATAGACAGACTATACATATTAAATGATATATACAGGTTTTTTCAGAAATGATAGAAAATTTGAACAGAAGGGAATAGAACAGAACGGTTGGCTGTGTTTTTCTTCAGAAGCTACATTTTAAATATTTACCCGATCATCTTGCGGGTTCGTGTATATACCGCAATTAATTATTATCCCGAGAAAGCTTGGATGGTGCAGAAATTATCAGAATAATCCATTTTCGGTCTCTTTAAATCGGTAAAGGAAAAACCGATCATCAGATCAAAAGTTATTCAGGTTATGAGCTTTAAAGGGGAAAAAAACAGATAGAGGGGAACATTAGCAGTCGACGAAGGCCACATGGTAAATGTAAGAAATGGCGATTAAAGACTTGTCTGCCAGTCGCCACTATTTTCGTCGAAAATGCGACCACTAAAACTAGTGGTGCGACAGCCCACAGAGGGCCAAGGCCTACCTCGGTTGTCTTGACCTTGGGCTCTGGGGTGCAGGAGCAGATGTTCCGGTCAGGTGGTCAGTCGAACGCGAAAACCCCACTGTTTAGTTCCCAAGCATGCTTGGTACTCATTTTGTCGACCCACTGAAGGGATGAAAGGCTGAGTGTTATGGCTGAGTCAACCTAGCCCGGCCCGAGGATCGAATCCGGGATCTTCGTCACGCGTCAATGTGGTGGCCACAGTGATATTTTGATACAGTTTTCTGTGACGATTATTGAATATCATTAAAATTTCGATCAATATGAAATTAATTTTTTGAAAATTGCTTAATTTCACACTAATTGTGGAGTCCAGATCGGAAATTCTTAAATATAGCAAGATATGAATACCATACGTTAGAGCAGAGGTCGCCAAAGTGGTCTATATAGACCCCCAGGGGTCTATTTAACAAAAGCGGGGATCGAACTGAGACAGGGGGGCGAATGGGGGTCGATCCGAATCGGAAGGGTCGATTGTGGATCGAGAAAAAAAAAATAGTTCTCAATACGCAAATCACACATACCTAATTAAGTATGCAAAATTTGTGAATTTTTTTAATAATTGACTCAATATCAGTTTCTTTATGAAACATAAATTAATAAACGTATATTTATTGGGGTGAAACAAGTATTTACGTACCACCGCGCAGTGGCACGAACTCAGGATAAGTCATATGCATATGTGCACTTGTCCAAATGTCACGTGTGACGAGCATTGACGTTACAAATGCAAATATCATACGCAGTTTCAGCTATCTTTGCAAACTGTGTTGAATATTTGCAGTGTCATTATTAAAACTTTTATAGTTTTGGATAATTAGTTATTGTTTCGATAAAACCATTCGTTTGGTTTAGATATCAATTTTAATTATCAATGCACAAAAAAGAAGGTAAGCATTAATAATATGGATTAGTACAGCCCGCGACAAAACTATAGCACACTTTGTATTTTTTTACAAAAATTACAAAATTGACCAATTTTGACGAAAATTAAAATTGACCAATTTTGAACCCAATATAGCGAACCTTGCAAAAAAAAAAACACCAGGCGCACCCATCTCATTGATCAAGAAGCACCTTAGTAACTTTACTTATTATATCTACTTATGCATGATTACTTATTTTTTAATAATAAGGTATTTAAATTTCAATACTAATATATTTTTCATAAAACTATTGTTACACAATGTACTATTACTTTAATAAATGTTTAAAATCATAAAATAAATGTACAAACACAGTATCTAATAGAGTTTCATTTTAATTAATAGAAAATTACTTTTGGGGGGGTCGATGGAGATTTCGAAAAATTATATAGGGGTTGATGATCAAAAAAGTTTGGCGACCCCTGCGTTAGAGAAACACATGATAAAATTATTTACTTACTTGTTTATAATGCTTCCTATTTTCTCTTTTGTAGTCATACTTTCGGAATTTTTGTGATACTGCCATCTAGGAAAAGTAGAATGTAAATGTGTTTTAAATTTACTTTTGAACTCATTTCTGTTTTGACACAGTATTTAATCAAACATAGACTAACTCACCGGGAAGCAAGAGTTGCAAAACAATAAACCTGTAATCCTTCAATCCCAATCTTCCTTCTTATGTTAAATAGATTATCACCTTTCTTTTGCAGTTTTAGAACGATGGGAAGTTGCATCGTGTACTCATCACTCGTGTCTACTTAAATTAAAGTATTGTTACCCGGCATTCCTTACACTAATGTCTTTGTAAGTTTAAAGACCATTTCTCGGTGTTCCCGACTTCTTTTTAAAAAAATAAAGTGGAATTGCCTCACAAGGATATTTTCTAAGTGTAAGGCACACAGACCAATACATCCTACACAGACACTTTTTTTTCCAATCTCAGTTGTGTGAAATTCATAAATTTCTTTCTTACCTAAATTGTGTGGAAAATAAATTCCAAATACTGAAAAACAAATAGAGTAAAAATTAACGCCAAGTAGGACAAATTTAAAGCCTTGAAATGCTGCTAACTGGATTTTGTTGTTAGGAAGTTAATACTTAATTTTCGAATAGTAAAATAGAAAATTAATTTTGTCTGCTGTATCATTAAAAATTCATCCCCATTCTTTTCTCCGCCCGAAAAAGAAATGGAACGGTCCATTCCTACTGCTTGGCTGAAAGTTATTATATAAAAGACAAAAAAGAGCAAGCCCTGGCAGAGGTCAAAATTAACGGTCTCCACCGGTCACAGGGTAGATAAATGATAATTAATGGTGCTTAAAAAATTGTCTACTATTTTTGTTGTGAAAAAAAACCCATCTCATCAGGGAACTAGCATTGCATCAGAAAGGTCCTGGGTTCGAATCCCAGACAAGGCATGGATGCTCTTTCCTTCCTGTGCTATCTGTCCCTATGGGAGCAACGTTGGTCCACCTAATATGGTACACCTGAAAGAGTGGTCATCGACAGGTTAAAGAGAGAATAGAAGGGCTAAGTCACTCCTTTGAAGAGACTCGTGCCGCTCCGAGCTTCTGATTTCAGTCAGTGACGTCACGCAGCATCAACTTCTCGCCTTAAAAATAAATTGTTTCGCATGTAACTATAGCATCTTTTTTAAGCTTATTTCAATGCATTCAGTGTTCTCTATATTTATTTTCAGGTGATTTTCTTCTCATCTGATTGCGAAAACTTAACAGTAGTAGTCAAATACGAGCTTGTGAGATAGCGAGCGGCAAGAATTCTTATAAAACACAAAATGAGAAAACGGAATTTTCCATGTTTTGTTTCAGGAGATGTAAAGGTGACATCAAATGAATTATAAAATGTAGTGCAAGAATTAATCCTGTTGTGAATAAGAGCATTACGTTTCGTGTTTTTTCGTGCTTTTAATTTCGCCATTGAAATCGATACAGTCTCGTAACTTTAAACAGAAAAGAAGAAAAACATGTACAAAGTCAAAACAAATAAAATCCTGAACTTCAAAAATAAAAGTTATTGATGCTTGAAAATTCTTCCATTTGATAAGATATTTTCTAATGTCATTATTCAAAATATTTATGTGTTTTGATCATAGCGCATTAATTTTAAATATTTATGAGCAAGTGTAATGTTTCCATTATTATATGCTCAACGATAATTTTTTCTTAGTAATTAGCATTTGAGATTCTTGTCAACTAATGATAATATATACAAGAAAATTACTATTACAATTATAAATAAGAAAATATATTAAAATTAGGCATCCCAATTAATAAAATGTAAGGACACTTTCATAGTTACACATTATTATCAGACAATATGTTACTATAAAAATGTTTTGATATGCTAGCATTCATTTAACAGTAAAAGTTAAAAACTAAAATATGACAATGATAAGAAAACGATGACGACAACCATTGAAATATTTTTCTAACTTTAAAATATTTTTGAAGTTATACTTCTTATGCGACTTCCAACAAGGTTGCGTTAAACGTTTAACGCTACTTTTTTATTGGCCGGGAAATCACGTGGTAGGAGCCAGTTTTCCCTTATTCATTTCCATATTGTTTTGATTCTCACTAGCATAAAAATAATAAAAGTCATAAAAGTATTGGTGATCGCAACGAACTATAAGGGGCGTTGTTGTATGAGACGCATACCTGCGATTTCTATATGAACAGTCATTCAGTTACTCTGGAGACGTCGTTAATGTAGCGTGTAGCATTGCAACGTTCCTTCTTTAATGTGGCTTATTAAATTTAAAAAAGAAAAATGCTTGATCTTCTTTCTTGTACAACCGAAAACAAAATGGTATCTCTTTTTATTAGAGAAGGAATAAGGGTCTCGATTTGAGTTAAATCTACGATTTGAATTAGTTTCGTTTCTGATATTCTTATAAGAGTTAAAACCTAATGCCCGAGAAATAGTATTACTAAATTTAATGATATAACATGAAAGGCCCATTTAAACTTTACATTCTATAGTTTTAAGAATCATATTAGTTCAAAAATTAAAATGAACAAAAAGTATACATAAGCCTCATAATTTTATGAAATTTAATTTTGTAAACAACGTTTTTTGACAACAATTTTTATCAAAAAATTTCAAGTTTCAATAAAAATCATTATTTAGAAACTAAGAAACGTAAAATAAAGAATGCTGACGAAACAAAAACAAAAAAAAAAAACAATTCTTTTTTGTCGCCATTTTTAGTGCTACGAATATTCGTCTTTGGGATTTGCCAAAAACAAAACAAGATGCAATTTTATTTTTTCAGGAGGGAAATATTTTACCGAAAAAACGAAAATGTACCAATTCCCACAACATAAAACTTTATCTTGGTAAACGTACGTTTTGGAAATGTTATTTCATTTGGAATCTTATTTATCAGAGTTCATATGGCGATATGATTGTTTTGAATCTATGCTAAACTCTATATCGGCTCATTTTCCACCGAAATCCGATTAACTATTTTGATTTTAAATAAAGTGTTTTATTTTATGAATTGTCGCAAAAATTTTAAGTGTAGATTAGCGGCACTTAAAAACCGCCAAATCTGTAGCGGCGGTGGCGTTAATACGTAAGTACCGAATTTTTATTCCATACTTTTCTGAATCATATTACTTCAAACATTGGAATATACAAGAAGTATACATAAACACATAATGTTATACCATTTAATTTTTCAAAAAAAGTATTTTGAGAACAATTTTTATCAAAAAATTATAAACTAAAAAACGGAAAATAAAGAATTCTTAGGATAAAAAAAAGATTTTAAGAATTCTTTACATTGAAATAAAAACTTTCATATTGTTTCTTTTTTTATTATTCTTATAGTTCTTAATCAGACGTAAAAAACCATTCTGTAGAGAACCATCATCAAATGAAAAAAAAATATTTACAAGCAAATTTTTTATTGTAAAAATCATTGCACTTACCTGATTTATGATTCCCGGAGAATTCCAAAATGATAAGTTCCTTGTTTGAAAACTTTATTCTCAAATAATAGATACATAGTTTATCCCTTCATTACTTTTAGATAACATACTACACAGCAAAATTTTATAATTGATATGAATTTGAATATGTAGCTAAAAACAGAATAGCTGAATTCTAGTTGAACTTATTCTTTCAAAATTAAAAAAAACTTACCAAGAAAACGATTTAAATTAATTAAGAATCAGCACAAATGGCACTATTTCAAGTAACTTGGATAATTTTTTATTGTTGTTTTCCGAATTATATGGATACAGAAATATATACTATTCTATAACGAAGAAGAATATGCTATAACTATTACAATTCTGTATGTTCTGAATTCATATTTATTCACTGGAATGACGAAAGCAATGTTGACTTCACTTTAATTCGTAATGAATTGAAGACAGAAGAAATGCATTTTACCTTAATACACACATCTGTAACAGTATCCGAAATCGGAAGTCATCAGTTGCAAGTTTGTTGATAATAGAAATTAAAAATTATTGAGGAATTTTTCTTCAAATGTTTGGCGTGTTCTGTTCCTGAAAGATTTACTAATATTCTGGAGATTTTTTTCAAGTTCTTCGGCCTTTTCCTTAGGGAAATTTTGTTTCTTATTTGCTGCTAAAAAATGGCGTCTGATTCAGTCAATGATTTTGATGGAACTAAATGAAAACGTGATAAATTAATGTCTGATATTTACAGGCTCCCGCTAGACGGCGTACTCGAGCGTTGCGATCGCGAATTGTTTTTCTATAAATATTTTTTTAGTTTGATTTGATACACATATGATTTAATAGGGCGGTATTCTTTATTTTCAAATTTAGTGGATAACAATTGTAAAAAATGAGTGAAAACAATCCCACGGACAATGCGACGGATTTAAGGTTATGTCAGGGTACGTCTCTTGTGAGTATCAACTGATTGTTTGGTTTTCTCTTCTGAAATTACACTATGACGCATTCACATACATTATTAATACAAATACATTTTCCAGGGCGAGACGATGAGGCAACCACAAGTACTTCCACTGGTTCAAGAGGTCCACGAGGGAAAAATGCACAATATTACTGTGAGTACAGAGCACGGAAGCGAGCGGAACAAGAAAAAGAGTCGAACTAGTGATCCTTCTACGACTGCTGATTCTTCTACAATTAACGTCGCAGGTTGCGAAGTTTAACTTCTTCCGCGCGGAGGGACTCCACGCACTATTTTTTTTCTTTTCTTTTTTTTAATACTATAAGGAATACCAAGAAAACGTATGAATACTATATTTTTGAACAGAAATAATTTGTCAGCAATGTAAAGTTTGACAGCTATTATCGGAAAAGTGTCGAACATTCAACTCATTTCTTACGGAAAGCAGCAAATTTTTCATATCCTCAAGTTCTGATTTTTGAGACCCGTGCGCGGAGTGACGTCAGGAGATTGGGAATCGCAGCTTCAGCCCTGCCTTCCTGTATGACGAAAGGTCATTCCCATGTGAGCAATGGATAAATCTTTTTCGACCTACATGGAATTAATAAGAATATTTCATAATATTCAAAAAATCACTCTATTTCACCCTTTTTTGCTAAATGTTTTCTCCAGTTTTGATAAAAAATAAAATTTTATAATATTTAATTTTTTTTTCCAATGCCCACCTGGACAATGACCTAGGTCATACAGGCATCTGAAGGGCAGATTTGTTGACCACTCTTTCAGGGGTACCATATTAGGTTGGCCAACGTTGCTCCCACAGTAAGGACAGATAGTACAGAGAAGGAAAGAAGATCCATGCCTTACCCGGGATTCGAACCCAGAACCTTTCTGATGCAAGGGCAGTTCCCTAACCCCTACACAGGCCGGTCGGCAAATTTTATAATGTTGCCATAAGCATATTGAAATATTGTATTGTAATATTAACATAACCATATTTTGAGAAAAACTTCAAAAGATGTGCGTTACATTATCTACAGTTTTTTTCATTAATTTTTTCTTAAAAAGTGGTTACCGTTACTGGACACTGACCGATAGCAGAACTTCTAAATTTTGCCCATCACTTCAATTGAAAAACAGCCAAAAATAAAATAGTTTATTTGCAATTAGTTTTTTTTCTTTCTCTTTTCTGTCTCACTTTCAGCACTAATCTTTAGAGAACCAGCTTGGAATCAGACAGACTCAGAGAATTCATTTTGGAATGAACCTTAGTATATTAATAACTCACCTTAAGGTTGTTTACCTTTTAAAAAGTGTTTGGTTCAATGATATTTTATATTTTATATTCTGGAAGCCTGTTGGTTCAATTTCTATGTTTTCAATGTTTTATTACGTTTAAATTGCTTTTGCTTGTCTAATTTACCTTTAGATCCAATGTTTTTAATGTTTACACTCTTTCACTTACCTGTTTACCCTCTTGGATCCAATGTTATATACTGTATTCTTTTTCAGATTGTTGTTGTTAGTAATTTTCAAAGATACTTAAGAAATCATGTAATGCTATATCAAATTCGTCCCTATTCAAATCTAAGTTATACAAGTCATTGTCAACTAAAATTATAGGATGACAACTAAAATTTAGGATAAGCGTTAAATATTATTTTATTTATTTATTATTCATTTATTTTGTTTTATTATTCATGTTTATCATTGTAAATTCTCATCTTCTTTTGTTTTCAAACTGGAAATTGTTTTGTTTCCTTTTTTTGATCAATAAATTTTCACCCCGGATGCCCCCGTTAGGGGGCGGGACGGGGCTGAGCTTTGAATAAAAAAATGAAGTGCATTAGTCAGCCAAATCCGAGAAAAACGTATTTGAAGATGTATGCATACTTTATATACTAGTTATGGCTGTGGTAGTTCAGTGGTTAGAGAATTGGACTCCAGTCTGGAGGAGCCGGGATTCGATCCTCGACACCGATAAGACCCACTGAGTACATGTGTGTTTGTTAAATGTGCGGAATCGAAAGTTCTGAGGACGGTTGCCTATCAGTACTGAGATCTGAAGAAAATGAAGAAATATTTCATAGCCCTTCTAAAGAAATAAGTACAGAAGAAACATCGATCAACAGTATCATGTCAAATGATTCTGAATACAGTTAATCTTTATTTAGATGGGGAAAGCTAGTAAAAACGTATTTCGCTTAATCTAATAGCGTAAAACCATAGAGAACAATAAATTTAAAAAAAATGAAATTAATTCAACACTATAGTTATGTTGGAATGTGTCTTTTAGTTTAGCGCAAGATTTCGTATTATTGTTCAATACTGTTGTATTGTATACTTACTCTCTCCCAACCAGTACAAAGAATGGGTCTTCAGCGAGCAAAAATCAAGAAAGGGAGGGTAGATCTTGCCAGATATAAATCTTGATATTTATACAGAAATTAAAAGGAAAAAAACCAAAGAATGATAGAAACTGTTTCTAATGCGAACTGTTTTACGATATAGGGTTAACGTTATATATTTTCAACAAGTGAAATAACTTATTTTTTTTTAAAATTACTTACTATCAAGAATTATCATTTATGGTATCGCTCATAATGTATTTCTCAGTTTATCTTTTTTTTTCAAGTATAGCTGATTATTTTTCAAATCGAAGCATCATTTCATTTCGTAAGGATGAAATATATGAAAAATAATTTTTTTATCGACTTTTAAGAAGAAAAAAAAGAAGCAATCATGGAAAATGGCGGGCGGAGCGATCAGGGGGTGGAAAAACTCAATTTGTTTTTTTAAAAAAAGGTATCTGATAGTAAGCTTTTTAAATTTGAGACGTTTAATTGAATTTATTACTATAGTTATCTAATTTTCAAGGGGTGCAAAAAAAATTACCTAGTTTACCCCCTGGTCGGCATGACCCTGGTTTCTGAAGTGTTTACAGCAGAGTTCACAAAAATACTTAACGGTAGGTGGAATTCTTTTAGAAACATATTAAATCATTTAGTAAATCTCATAATATTTTCGGGTGTTATTAGATCATTCCTGAAAATTTATAGCCACAGTTTGAATTATATACGCCTTAAAATTGAAAATTGTTCACGTTTTTCTTAAAGAGATTCTTAAGAGTAGAGGTAGTTTTCAACCATTGAAATACTTACCTGGAAATAGTGAAGGGAAATTTTTCGTAGACGCACCATTTGGGAAATGTCCCACGTACACTGGTAATCTTGTCTGAAAGTAGAATCAATACAATTTTGTTAAAATTAAGAAGGCAAGAAGGAAGGAAAACTCTGAAAAAGACAGTTTTCGAGATTTGATTTGAGAGTTAAGAGCCGAAATGCACTATATTGTGAAAGAGATTTAAGAGATTCCACTTCAAATTCTCCAACGTTGACTTTATTTGAGCTCCATAGCTCATTGCTTGAAAATTTCCCCACAAATCGTTATGTTATTAATGGGTAGAAAATATGGTTGGCTTTACTGTAAACGTAAGGCAAACTCTTTCCATAATCATTCCATTACAGGGGATAGAAGGCCTGATCGCCATGGTGACCCAAATTCGATCCCAGCACTAGTGGGTAGATTTGAATTCTGCTCCCGACTTGCACTGACCACAGTGCTGACATAAAATATCCTCAGTTATAGATGAATCATAGGTTAAAATCCTCTTGTCGTCTAGTAAACCAATGGAAGTTTTCGTGGTTTTATTCTCCGTGTAATGCAATTGAGTGTCAGTTCCATCAAAAAGATTCCGCGAACGCTGGAAGGCTTCACGAAGGATACTGGATCAAGGAGATCTTTTATCTCCTGGTTGGATTCAAAATTACAAGGTTTTGATGTGGGCTGTACAATGCCGGTTCTTAGAACTGAGCAATGAATCAAAAATTTAAAAATACGCTTGTAAAATATTTTTAAATGATGCATTTATTGATCCCGACCCTTTTAGTCCCCGTTTGGAAGATTAGAAAACAACAAACGTGAAGCGCTGGTTTTTCAATTCCAAGATGACTCTCTATGAGAGAGAACTGCTTCAGATTTTTCACAGGGCGACAAAGCTAAAGAATTCAAGTTGGCATTTTCCCCGAAACAGATACAGCAGACATAATTTATTTTTAATTTCAAAGTTTTGAAATATTGCGAAATGCATTTAAAAGCATTTTAAAGCTTCGAATTTGCCACACGCTATATTAAGTTTAATTATAATGTTCATTTATTTACATTCATCAGAAGGGATAATTTTTTTGTTTATTGAAGGTGGCTACGAATTTCGCATAATTTAGAGCATAAAAAGGGCCAGTGCAGGAAATACAGAGCCATGGCCCTTACATTTAAAAAGCATAATACATTATAGGGAATAAAGGATATGTCGATACCATATAATAGCATTTTACACTAAAAAGACATGATTACGATGTAATTCCTTCCTTTCTAAACATGTAAATGCAAAAAAAGGAAGAAAAAAGTAAAAGAAATCTGCAACAATTCACACACATAGGGGGACATCTTGCAATCGAAGAGGACTCGTTCAATATGCTTGTTGTTTGCAATTTTAGATCCAGTCGACCGAGATGATTTAGCAAAAATTTCAAACTCTTAAATAAGAGTCCAAACATTTTTTCATTGCAGATTTGAAACTTCCAGAAGAAAGGACATGATTAGTCTTATGGATTGTTGTACTTTTGTTCACAGATGACGCTGTAATCGCTAAACGAAAACATTGAGGAAGGAGATTCAGTTTGGTGTCACGAGATTTTTAAAGCAGAAAACAAGTCCATTTTCAATATTTCAATATAAAATGCATTTCTTGAGATGTATGTTTTTGAAGCGATTTTTGCGCTGTTTTTTATTTTGCAACAACAGCCTATGAATCAACAATCAGAAAGCAGCTACTCAAATAGGTACAGGAGAAAGCGTTGTACCTTGGGACTTTCTGAAAATAAATATTTTTATTTTTACTAAGGCTCTGACACCAGTAATTGGTATGACAGTATGCGACACCACACCACAGCACCGTTTATTGTTTAAAATTTCTACAGCCATTTTAGAAAGGAAGAAAAATAAATTTAACTCATTGCTTCACAACCAAGTTTTTATTTCCATAAAAGCACAATAGTATTCTGTTGTTGTTGCTTATGCCCACTTGACCAACAGAAGCATTAAATCAAGTCCATGAACTCATCCAAAAAGTTCCCAAAGTCATGTACTATTGCAGCAGGGTAGGAGACCAGGTGGCTCTTCTGGCAGCCAATGCACGATAGGATGTGGGCAGGAACAGACTGGTTCACAAGTTGCACTTAGGGCAGGGTGGGTAGACTTAAAGGCCCGCAACGTGACGTTGGGATCGAGTGTGTCCGCTTCTAAGTCTGGCAAGCACCGTTTGGACACGCCTATTGCTTGCCCTGATCAGAGCAAGACCTGGCCGGCCTCCCCCATACCAATCATGCACAGGAGCTTTTTTCCAGCAGGAACCGATATCTTGCATAGACCGGGTTGCTACTTCTGAGAAAGTAAGAAGGTCATCGCCAGCAGTTTCTCTCTGGCTGCCCTCACGGGCGAGACCGTCTGCAATTTCATTCCCGTAGACATTCACGACAAAATTATTCTAAATAAATATACGTAACGTATAACTGACTATTCAATACTGCTCAAATTATTACAATTTAATAAAATGAATAATAACTATAGTGTTGCCAATAGATCGAGAAATATCCGAGCGTATGGTGTTGTGGGGGGCGGAGTTACAGACCATGTCAACCTTCATCTATGAAAAGGTACCCCGACATAGAGTCGAGTTAACATGTCTTATATACTAGTGAATTGTAGTTGTAATTTTGTAGTGGTAGATACGCTACAGTACTCCCCCACCAGAATTATAGCTATGATAGAATTCGATGAATGGATGCCACTAGTTGATTCATTGCTGTTTTGTGCGAAGCCGGGAGAGCTGTATTAAGATCACCGTATTTTTTTGAGTGCTGAATGTGAGAGGTGTATTAACTTCACGGTTGTAGTCGCTCCTGTGTTGCCGTTAGCAGTCGAGTGTATGCAAGCCAACGTTGTGTGTGATCGAGATGAGACTGAGTAGCAACTGCGTGAGGAGGTGGATAATGATGCAGTCACAAGTAGCAAGTCAACTGTTCAATGTGGACCATCCAACGAAGTAGGCGTTACTGCCGATGTAGGCGTATCCAGATCAAAGTGGGCGTTTTTGCCAAGGTAGGCGTGTTCACATCACGTCCGAAGGTCACCAATGTGGAGGGTGGAGTTACAGACCATGTCAACCTTCATCTATGAAAAGGTACCTCGACATAGAGTCGAGTTAACATGTCTTATATACTAGTGAAATGTAGTTGTAATTTTGTAGTGGTAGATACGCTACAGTGTCACATAAGAAAAATATACGTATACATTACTTATGACACGTACCTTATTAAACTGCTCTTTATCAGTTCCAGCCAATGAAAACAATACATTTTCGCAAATGTGAAATACATCTGTTTTGCAAAACAAATTAGCTAGAGTCTTTATAACAGGACTATTTGGCAATATTTCATTTATTCTAAACATCTTGAAAAAGCCCTAGTTTATCAAAAAAAAAAAAAAAAAAANAAAAAAAAAAAAAAAAAAAAAAAAAAAAAAAAAAAAAAAAAAAAAAAAAAAAAACAGAATGTAAGTAAAAACGAAATCTCACAGTAAAATTCATAATAAGAATCATATTTTACCTCCATATAATCGACATATTGTGCAACATGTACTACTAGTACGCTTTTACCATTGCTAACGTCAACTTCAGGAGCCAATGCAACCAATAAATTTATCTAAAATTTGAAAGAAAATTATTGTTAGCATTAAACTTGCATAGAGTTTAACAAAGGCCGAACAAAATCAGTAACTGAACTGTTACATACGAAGATGGTCTCAATTTACTAGAGATTGACTGTCACTAAAATAATGGTAAATGTAAGAGTAAGGCTGAGAGCAAGCTCGCAACTAGAAACTTTTTCGAATGAAATAGATATACCACAAAAACAAATTGAAAGAAATGTTATATTCCACAAGAACAAATTGTTAAGATAAGGCGTTCTGCATTCTAATTCCTCATAAATCTATCACTCCTTATCTCCCCTTCTGCTGACCAGACGAGTGGTCCTCTCGCCGTTCAAACCCCCTTCCTCTAGCGTCCACCATGTAAAAGGGGGCGACCACAAACGATTTATAGCTTACAAATTATCAATTTGTAATTGTGGGAGATCTATTTCACTGAGGAAAGCAAAAGCAGCCTGCCCTCAGCCTATAGTCAGATTGGTGAAGCTTTTTTGGCAAGCTAGGGTATAAACTGTACGATAAGCTTAGTCATTAGCTTTGGTTATATCTGAACAAGCCAATATTTGAAACGGGACATTTGTTTTAAAATATAAAATATGATTTATAAGTTTAAAAATTACTCGTATCTTTCAATTTAGTTTTGCAAAATCCAAGGAGAATTTAAAACCTGAACTATTAAATAATATAATAACTTAAACATTTTTTTTAAAAATTTGTAATAAAATCGAGGAAAACATCTAGAGTAAAAAACGAGAGTTATAAATAAATATTTTTTTATTTAAAGATAGTTATTGTATTGCATAGAATAATATTAAAGGCCATTCTTGACAATATCAAAATTCATATAAAGGCAGCAACTGATGCTTACCTCCCGATTCATTAGAAAACAATGTATTCAAAAATTCACAAGAAGTTTGGCGACATTTTTTTCTGAAACCAGTACGCGGTAGACCGTTCTGATTTTCTTGAACAGATAAATTGTACATGCGTTTTTTTTATCTAAGTAGTCAGATTATTTACAAAGGCACAATTCTTAAAAAGGCACAGATTATTTACATAGTAAGTCAGTTTTGCTCATGAGCGAAACTTCTTTTAGAAAAATACCTGTGAGAAATTTATAATGTTCAAACTTCTTATATTTGATAAATGATGGCTAACAGAAAATTAAGACACATCAATTAAATTAATTAATTAAACAGATTTCAAGACGTGTACTTGCTAACACATTCTTGTTTTTGTTAGCTTTTCTACAAAATATCACTTAATCGTATTCTGATCAGATTACTTTTAACCTATGCACATCTGGTATATTTCACCTAACCACGATCTGGAAATCATTTTAAAGTGGTAGCCAAATTTCCAAAAATAATACATACTTTAAAGTTTATATACTGTATATCTGATTAAAATATTTTCATTTCGTTTATCGTGGGACCAAAACTGCTTTCATAAAACTAAATTGAATGTTAGCTATAGGAAACTTAAAGCAGTCTGGAGGAAAGTTCTCCACCATTCTTTAATTTTTTTGTGGGTACCTTATGTTTGGAGAGGAGCACTAACGTGTACCTTGGGCAAAGAATATATAGGAACATACATGGTGAATATATAAGGAGAAGTATATATTTTCAAATGCGTAACTAATGCGGAAATTTGTTCGGTGTGGTGTGCTATGCATGAAATACAACTTACATGATGAACAATCTACACAGATTTAGCAGATGTATTAAGATCCAGCGCATGCGCATAAGAAGCAAACGACGTCCCCAGGAGCTACGTTTCCCCTGTGACCCGGTCGTTAGAAAACTCTATATGCATGGTTGGTTACGCTGCCTCCTGCACCGCTATTCTATTCTTTATTTCTATATCAAAATATGTTAGCAGATTTAATCAATATGGATCACATAAATGTATTTTTCAAGAAATATCTTAAATAATAGTACAGTACTGTTTATCAATAACTTCCCCGAAATGTTATTTTTTCCTTTAAACAACGAGAATGCACGAAACCTTAGAGGACTGGTTAACATTATGTCTATGAAAGCTAGCCTTTTTCCCGTTTTTCCCGTAGCCTTTTTCCCGTATGTCCCGTATTCTTTGCCTTGGGTCTGAAGAGGTTAAGAAACAGCGTGGATGTTTTTTGTTATAGGTGGCCATGATCAATCACTTTTGTTTTTACAGAATCACACTGTAACAAATCTAAGGGACAGGTAAAAATATTCGAATTTGTTATGCAGAGATATTAAATGTTTATGTCACCTTCTCATTATAAATAGGTTTCTCGGCCAAAAGAGCAAATGCCACAGTTGATCCCTGCGAGTGTCCAATGTAAGACAGGCTATTTTCTTCAGTTTTGTTTAGAACGTAGTTTATCATGGCTGGTAAGTCGAATTCGGCCATTTTGTCAAAACTAAGAGAGAAAAAACATGTATTAAATACGGGGAATGGACAAAAATATTCAAACAATTCCATACTAATTGTATGCTAACAATTCTTCTTTTAGCAGCAAATGTTTTGGAAGATTTTATATGGGCATAACTCTTAGCACAGATTGAAAGATCATACTTAAAAGTGAAGAAATATTGCTATAGTCTATGAAAAAATTTAAACAAAGGCTTATAGCACACCATAATTTTATAGCAAAACTTTTTTTACATTAAAAAATACCACAGGATATCCCCATGTGGTTTTACCTATAATGAATTTTACCGCATACTTTTCCCACATGCGTATGGCAGAAACTTACCTTATGCTTATGGCAAAATTGTATGGCAATATTATACAGTTGGCAAAGACAGTGAAAGCTAATATTAAGAAATTTTCATCTTCTTTGTAACAAAATTGATACCAGTTACTAATTTTTTCAGGTGCGTATATACAATATGCAGATGTTGATATGGAAATATTCCTGTACAAACTCCATCTAAACAATCTTTCTTTTAGCAGCAAATGTTTCGGAAGACTTACATGGTATAACTGTTGTCACATCTAAAAAGGTCGCGATTTAAACTTTTTAGAAATGATGTCATTTTAACCCCATGCGAAACTCAGACAGACAAAAAGGAGGGGAGGAAATTGACTTTTTTATGGTTTTAATTCCAGCAACTTTGAAATAATAATAATCATCAAAACTTACATGGGCGCTTAAGGCCGTCGGCAGCCCTTTTCTCACATCCATCTTGAAATTTTATCTTTAAGTTGGCTCTTTCTGGTAGTTGGAATGCAAATTGGAGTGAAGAGAAAATTAAATATTTTGTATTTTAGAAAAATTTTACTTCGCTACAAAAATAGGTTGCCATGAGCTTGAGGTTTATATCTTCTCTTAAGTTTACAAAAGTAAAAGTCTCGTTAAATCCTGACGTGTCACAATTTATGTTCTTTTCAAAAAATTGACAATTTAGCTTTGCAATATGATAATCTAAAAAAATCTATGTTGAGATCGCGATGTATGTTTTTATTTCGGATAAACCATCTTGATTGCGTTACTTTTTGGAGTATTTTATTCTGGCATCTTTTGAGTTTGTTCCTCTAGGAGTGATAGGGAGATGTTGTACCAAGCTGTAGATGCGTAAGTTAGAATGGGACGGTTCGTTGAGGTGTAGAGTAAGTGTTTAAGTTTGAGTTCCATTTTAGAATTCTGAAGATGGATTTGTAATTTGTGGCATTCTGTTTGTGCTTTGTTAACAACTGATTTGACATTATCTTTCTAATTAAATTTACTGTTTATGACCAGACAGGGCTGAAAGCCAATATATACCAAGACGGAGAAAAGCGAAAACTGGTAGGAAAGATATATTATTCGAGCATTTTTTTCGAGAAACATTAAATTTCTTTAACTACTTTTTTACACACACACACACACACACACACGCACACACACACACACACACACACGCACACACACACACACACACGCACACACACACACACACACACACACACACACANCACACACACACACACACACACACACACACACACACACACACACACACACACACACACACACACACACACACACACACACACACACACACACACACACACACACACACACACACACACACACACACACACACACACACACACACACACACACACACACACACACACACACACACACACACACACACACACACACACACACACACACACACACACACACACACACACACACACACACACACACACACACACACACACACACACACACACACACACACACACACACACACACACACACACACACACACACACACACACACACACACACACACACACACACACACACACACACACACACACACACACACACACACACACACACACACACACACACACACACACACACACACACACACACACACACACACACACACACACACACACACACACACACACACACACACACACACACACACACACACACACACACACACACACACACACACACACACACACACACACACACACACACACACACACACACACACACACACACACACACACACACACACACACACACACACACACACACACACACACACACACACACACACACACACACACACACACACACACACACACACACACACACACACACACACACACACACACACACACACACACACACACACACACACACACACACACACACACACACACACACACACACACACACACACACACACACACACACACACACACACACACACACACACACACACACACACACACACACACACACACACACACACACACACACACACACACACACACACACACACACACACACACACACACACACACACACACACACACACACACACACACATATATATATATTCTCCTCTCGAAAAAAAGTTAAAACTGAAATAGTTTTACTGACAGCTTTTCCTCTTTCCGTCTCGCTTTCATCTATGTGACAGGACCATTTAAAATAATTCTATAAGATTTGTTTATATAAAACGTATTTGAAATTTACCCTTTTAACTTCCTCCAAATTTTGCATAGGTAACGCACCATTTCTAAAACCTTCAAATGTGATCTTTCAAATCCTGGCAATAGTTTCCCTAAGAAAATCCTTACCAAACATGATCTGCTAAAAGAAAGATTGTTTATACAGAGTTACAATTCGAAGTGTTTCCACAAAATCTTCCGAGTTCCCGTAACAAATCAATACCTCTGGGGGCTGCTGCAGCGGAGATTGATCATGCTCTGGTTCAGGTTTCAGCTTGACAATCAGCTTATTTTCTTCTTCTAGGTACAGACAATGATAGCAAAGATGGTAAATAAATCCCGCCTTTAATATACTACTGAGAAAATGTGTTAAAATATTACCTGAAGTTCCAAAAATCAGTGCCATTGGGTTCTAGAGAAATATGATTTCTGGAATAGATATTACCCCTTGTATTCCCAAGCCAAACGTCGTAACCAGAATCTGCCAGTATGAAACCTAAATTGAGAGTTATGTGTTAAAAAAATATAGTTATTCATGGCAATAACGAAATATTGTCGGTGATACCAAATGGTTTTCAGCGGATACCTTGGTTCCGTAAGTTGGGAGTTTTTTTTTTAAAATAAGTAATGATTTTTAAATCCCGTAATAGGATTGTATCCAACAAATAATCCATTATTTATTTAAGATTAAGTTTATTTTTATAAAATTATTTGTGTAAAATTGCAATAAAAATGAAATAGTCAATTTTAAAAAAATTCTTTTTTTCTTCAATATCTATATATTAACAAAAAGATTTTAAAAAATATATGAATTTGCAAATGATTGCATTAGTATTTCTCATCAAACTTCGAAATTCAATATAAACTAAACAAATTCCGTAATAAGAATTACTTTTCTCTCTTAACCTATCTTACAGTTTATAACAATTCTTTTTCTAAAACCATATAATTGAGAGTATTTTATACAATTTTAACTGTAAAAATACTAGACTTAACTTATACAGCAAAAACGTAACTGTTGCAGGCTAGCGAATTCAACTGCCTTAAAAAAAATTCCTTCACATTAAATATTTCTGAATTAATTTATAGTTTTTTTGTTCGCATATTTACACTTGCTCATGAACCATTTTTTTTTAATTCGGGGTTTTGCCAAAAAAAAAGTTAAATTATTTAGGGTTCCGTAGCTTGAAAGAAATTGGGATCCGCTGCTTTTGTGAACTCGCTTATTCTAAGACTTTGGAATCCTAGTAAGTCAAAAAGTACACTCATTAGCAAGGTTCGCAAATTACTTAAACAATTTAAAAATTAGAAAAATTTTAATAAAGAATTTTAAGATTTCTTACTTTTATCTCTCACTTTAATATTAAAACTTGATTACCTATGATTTCGTTACTAAACACTTCCTCTGTTCCAAATTGGTTTAGACATTTGAATAATTTTGTATTAATTACAGCGATCGCGCAAGTATTTCCATCTATAATAAACTAAAAATCATTTCGCAACGTCACGAAATACACCTACGCTGGGGGCCATCAGGTGTGGATATTTATGTCAACGAAATCGCAGACAAACTCGCCAAAGAAGGTTGCTGTCAACAGATTTCTTATACCACTAAACGACAAAGAGAATACAAAATACTGTTACAAATATCGAATCATTTTATTGTAAAGATATTAAATAGAAGACGCTAAATACAGAAATATGATGATTATTATAAATGGAAAGTAACTTTAAAATTTTTTATTCGAATCGACCGCCATCTTTAGCGATTACTAAAGATAATCTCTTATGTTCGAAGGCGGCACGAATCGTTTAACGATCTAATTTGTCCGATTCACTCAATAAAGAAGCTCTTAGAGGGTCCAAACTTCTGTGCTGATTTAGACTCTAGAATCCTCCAAACACAATAGTTTACAGGATTAGAAAAGAAGGAGGCCAATCTTCTTGCTTGATAAATTTTAAAAGTCTGTGTTGTTTCGGCTCGACGCGATGGTGCAGTATCTTGCTGAAATATTCAAGCCTTTTTGGAATACAATCTGTCAGCATGGGGCAATAAATGTGTAACCAATCCTTCCTTTTTGCAATATTCAGTTGAGTTTTTCCCTTTAATTGGCGAATTTCAGAAGAAATCTTCTGTTATTTGACACTGCAGTCCAAATTGTCCAGAATTCTTGTTCTGAAAGCGTTATACCAGTGATTCTCAACCACTGTGCTACGGCACTTTTGTGTGCCGCCAAATTCTTAAAATGTGCCGCCAAATATTGGAAATGATGCAATAAAAATTATAATTCTTTTTATATATACTTTTTATAATTTTTCCATACTTTCACCGCGTGAACATCTTTGTCGTTGTCGGTGTCTTGTCTCAGACAATCTTAAAATAAGTTAGAATAAGAAGGAAGTGTTTAAATTGTCTTTGAGAACTTTAAAAATTATTGAAATTATAGGTAGAAAATTTAATGACTATTAAAATTATTAATTAACAAAGAAAAACAAGCTAAATATTAACTTTCAAACGGAAATAAAAGCTAATCATTAAAGTAAGCTATGCAATAAATAGTTATAAAAACAAATTAACAAAGGATAACTAACAATAAATAAGCTAACAATTAATAATCAGCAAAAATACTAGTTTACAAGAAATCACAAAAAAATAAGAATTAAATGTTAAAAAAAACGAACATATAATAACTATAGAAAACAAGCTAACAATTAATAACTAGCAAAAAAATAAATAACTGTTACTAACTAACAAAAAATTAGTCGGAAGAAATAATTAATCCCTTAATAAACGTGCTTTTGTAGTACATATTATTTTATTTCTCATTCAAAATTATTATCACTAACTATTTAACACAGTGTATTATAGGTAAGTAAACAACTTTTAAACTAATTTTTTTTCATTTTGTGCCGTTAAATTTCGAAATCGTTAAAAGTGTGCCGCCACAAAAAAAAGGTTGAGAATCACTGCGTTATACAGTTCGAACAGTTTCAGGTATATCATGAAAGTTTGCTGAATATACAACATCGCTTTTAGCATTAAAACTAATTTTCGGTGCAAATTATTTTCTCATCAGAAAAGATTATTCTGTCAACACTTTTGCTACAGTGCCAGTTCAGCAATTTCTTACACCTTTGTAACCTTTTTAATTTTTATGCAGCTGTCAAACCTTGAACTTATCTTTTGCAATAAGGGTGAAAACCCAGATCTTAATTTAATATAACTTGCATAGTTCCCCGATTCACGTTCTTTTCTGCAGACATTTTATTAGCGGAACTTTGTGGATTTCTTTGTATCTTTTCACGAATTCTTTTAATAAGCTCTTTAGCAGGAATTGAGCGTGGACTAATAGACCTGTGTTTATTTTTACAATTATCAGTATCCAATAATTTAATTATAGTTCTATATACAGGGTTATTCATAATTCCCTCCGGGGTTTAGAGGCGTTATAGGGAAAAAATGAAGTCGAATATGGCAAAAAGAGCATATGAAATTATTCCGAAAGTATTCAAGTTTTAATTTAAGCAGTTGCCGGTAGATGGCTGTAACATGTACCACTGAAGTCAGTTGTAGTAAAGAAAAATGGCGTTTACATGTGGAGGGAATTATGAATAACCCTGTATAAATGTTCTATTAAACGCAAAAGAGTTTAATTGCTTAAAGATTCTACCTCCAGAAGATACGAGATCGAAAAACTGTTTAATTATCAACCTTTTCGATTCCATCTTCAAGCTAATTCTAAATATATTGATTTAAACAAAAATCGTCTGCACTTATAGAAAGTTCCACTCACAGGAATACTGTGAGAGCAATTGTTTTGCAGAACGGTTAAAATTAATTTATATTCTTTGGAGTGTTACAGTATTCAGTAGCCACCCCGTGACATTTACGGAACTTTATTCTTTCAAAATATCTGCTGAAGACTGTCTACTGCCTTCCGCCAACAGCTGGTACATGGCGACTGAACCAGGATTCTCTCTTTCCTTTTTGGGAGACAGATCTAACCAAACTAGCAGTCACCTGAAATGTCTAAAATTCCTTGGTGGGATGAAAACCTTTCACCATTGCCCTAAATACCAGCTTCATCAGGCCACTCCCAGACATATCTTGGACTCAGAAGAGATAAGAAACCTACTCGTCTTCTCTGTTTGTCATCGATATGCTTAAAGTCAACGGTCTATTCGATGCATCAGACCAAGTGGGAGATAATAAGAAGATATATTTTTTTAACTAATGAAATTTTACATTTTTTTTTTCAAAATTAAATGTTATATTTTGCAACTTATAATAAAATAAGAAATACTACAAATATGATATTACCTAAGCTTTGGTGGGGAAAATTAATTACCCAGTCTGAGGAGCATGCTAAAAATCCATGCTGTAAGAGAACTGGTTTCCTATCACCAGCTTTTTTGTCCAATTGTCCATATGGTATTCTTTGCATTGAGAGTAAATAACCGTCTTCTGTTTGAACAATGTGATTTTCAACTGGATAGCCTTTTGAAGAAATCAACTCAGACTAGAAATTATAATAAATGGAAAAACAATTTCAGACAATTACCATTAGTGCTGTAAAAATAAAGTTTCAATCCAACAACAGAAAATAAAATTCTACTCAATGATAAACCATTAAGCACCTCTCTATTTAGTAAAGGGTCAAAGGTTACATAACTTCATAAGTCAGGCTTTAATCGAGAGGGGAAGGAGTGTAAAAAGTTAAATATTTCTATCTAGACTCGTGGTTCCCAAAGTGGGTTCCACGAAAAGCATTAAGGGTTCCGCGAGAAAACTTTTATTTGATTTAAAAAATAAGAATGGTGTTTAATGTATATTTATATTTCCCTCGGAAAGTTTACAATCGAACCCCAAAATTTATGAATTTTTTTTGCAATATACCGGTGTATGGATGTTTAACCGGGATTCGATCCTACCAATAGATGGCCATAGTGGAAGATTCCAAACTTCTTTTCCGGGATACTGCATTGGCGATTGTCTATGTCCCTTGGTTTCTCATAACAACGCCAGTTGATACATACAAAACGCGGTTTTATTTGTTTTTATCACAATCGCTGACTTTTCTGCATTGCGTATTCTTGAAAGACAGCGATTAAATGGTAAAGAAAAAAAATAATAAAGTTAATGTATAAAAAAAATAATAACTGTATTTATCGCTTTCGGTTATAGACGCTGTCACTGCCGTGGTTTTCTCTTGGTTCCACCATGATTTTTTTTTCGTTGGCAACATTGTGTTCCTTTTTAAACATATGTCACCTGTCACCTGTTTTGAGCACTCAAACATGTTGCCATTTTCCACCTTAATTATTGAAGTTTAGGATGTTTTTTGCATTGCCAAATAGGAGAAGGAGTTTTTAATCTTGGAAATCAATCCAGGCAGTTCGAAAAAAGGTGGTTTTCGGTGGTTACATCACATGAGCGTTTTATCCCGAGCCACAGCGACTTCATTCTCCACACGATATATATTTTCATCATAATTAACAGTCATTCGTTGTTTAACATGTTCACACATGCAAATAAATGCATAATCACGTAAAACAAAACTTAGGGTTCCAAAAATAAATAAATAAATAAATAATTTTTTCATAAAAAAGTAATTTTTTCATAAAATAATTTTCCATAAAATATTTTTTTTATAAAAAAATAGTTTTTTCATACAAAATATAATTTTAAAACATAATTTTTTCATAGAAAAAAAACAATTTTTTCATAAAATAATTTTCCATAAAATATTTTTTTTATAAAAAAATAATTTTTTCATTCAAAATATTATTTTTTCATAAAATAATTTTTCATAAAATTTTTTTTGTTAAAAAATACTTTTTTCATTCAAAATAAAAAATTTTCATGAAATAATTTTCCATAAAATATTTTTTTTTATAAAAAATTTTTTTTCATTCAAAATATAATTTCAAAATATAATTTTTTCATAAAAAAATGCCAAACAGAAGAACGGACCGTTAATGGTCACTGGGTTGGAAAATCACGTTCCGAAAGGGTTAACATGCCGTGGTGTATGGAATCATTCTCTAAATAAAATCTTCGAAATTAAGAATAAAGGTGCAAATTTGTTGGCCACCACTCAAAAGAGTATCTCCCCTTTAGCAAAGTAAGAAAACTTATTGTTTAAATCTAACACCATCGCTAACCAACCTAAACGTTTCTTTAATTGATCAATGAATTTTAAATCATACAAAAGGAATGAAAAAATGAAGTATTTTATGTAATATAAGAAAAAAGATAAATTAACTTGAATTCTATCCATATACGAAAATGTAATTTCTTTACCCAGTGATTCCAAAATAATAAGAAACTAGTAAAACATTGAATGTTTCTTAGCCTGAAAATTTAACAATAATGCACATTTTAATGAATATTAAAATTTTTATACATTAACTAGGAGGCTTCGCCCCCTGCTCGCTGGCGCTCGCCAACCCCCGGAACTGCTTTCGCAGTTCATTTCGGATTGCTTCGTAAGTTGCTGTTGTAAGTTTTGCTTTAAAGTCTTTCCCACCAGAGGGCTAAAACCATGTGTTGTAAAACAATATGAGATAGTACAGAGCGCCGGATGTAAAGCATCGGCTTCAATTAAGATAATTTTGTGAGAATTTTTTTCATAATTCAGTGAGAATTCACCCGATTAGACATATGATGCTCACTATGTGCTCTTGCGCACCGAAGCCTATCAATTAAAACGTATTAGCGTTTTATATAACATGGATTAGCCATATGATGCTCACTACGTGCTCTTGCGCGCCAAAGCCTATCAATTAAAACGTATCAGCGTTTTATATAATATAGATTAGCCATATGATGCTCACTAAGTGCTCTTGCACGCCGAAGTCAATAATTAAAAATGAGAAACTGTTGCCAACGCGAGAAAAGAAGTATCATCGATTTTATTGATACATACGTACGTATTAGCGTTTTATATAATACTAGGAGGCTTCGCCCCCTGCTCGCTGGCGCTCGCGAACCTCCGAAACTGCTTTCGCAGTTCATTTCGGATTGCTTCGCAATTCGATGCTCGCTTTGCTCGCTCTTTGGATACGTTCTTAACATCTAGCTTTTGTATGCTTTTTTGAACACTGAAGTTCCGAAAACTTTTCACTGTAGAAAATTCTGAACCTGTGCATTTCAATATTAATTTGAAATTGTAAACAGTTCACATATTTTTCTTAAACACACTGTTCTAAATTTCAGTTGTTGAGAAAAGTAACTGTTGTAAGTTTTGTTTTAAAGTCTTTCCCACCAGAGGGCCAAAACCATGTGTTGTAAAACAATATGAAATAGTACTAAAGCATTTTGTGAGAATTTTTTTGATAATTCGGTGAGAATTCACCCGATTAGCCATATGATGCTCACTACGTTCTCTTGCGCGCCGAAGCCAATAATTGAAAGTGAAACCTGTTGCCAACGCGAGAAAAGAAATATCATCGGTTTTATTGATACATACATACTCATTAGCGTTTTATATAATATATGTTGGAGTGGTTTGTTACTCCTCTGA